CCCAGCTGCAACTATCAAGATGATTTTTGCACCATTGGTAGCTGAACGTCTCACGAGTTGAAGAGAATTGAAATGGCGTTTCTAGCCCAAGGTATGCCGGAGATATTAAGCTAACAACTTTGCCCCATTCATTTCCAATGGGGAAATTTCTGTACAAAAAGCTGAATATCTTAAAAAGTATAAAAGTTATAAAAAAGTTGTGTACAAGCACACATGTCCTTAAGGAGATACACAGTTTGATACCTCAATGGCCCTTCTAGGTGAAAGTATGCTACACCAATTAGATGCCGACAAACAGTGGTAGAAACCAGAATAATAAAGAACTGGATAACATAGTGTGGATGCATACGCATCCACACAATAAATGAAGAACAGACAGCATCCTCACAACTAGAGAAATGCATTTCCTGTCAAAAATGCATGTGCATGCTGATAAGCTGAAAGATGAGAAGAAATGGCTGAAGTTCTTTGTTGAATAATCTGAAGGATTGTTAGATTCTAACCTTTTTGTCAGAAATTAACCCAATTCTTTTGTTGGAAGCACGAGAAGTGACGACAGGAGAGGACTCTTTAAAATCAGCAGAAAGTTTACTGAATGTCTGATCACAGGTAGGCCTTACAGTGCTGGGATCAGAGAGACAGAGCTCCCGCAGGAGTTCCATCCACTGACCTCGAATTCAGGTCTTACAATACATTTTATCTTCTTGGGCTGCTCTGCACTCAACAAAGGTACAACAATTCATGCATTCCTTAAAGAGCTGAACATTTTGATGCCTGAAATAGCTGAAAGAATGCTGAAGTAGAATTTCCCCATTCATTTGAATGGGGCAAAGCTTTCAAAATAAAGCTAAATATTTCAAAAGTATAAAGTTTTGAAAACCTCTGAATAGAAGCATGAATGTCCTTGAAGAGCTGAACATTTGGATAGCTGAAAGAGCTGAAAGTATGCTGAAGTAGAATTTTCCCATTCATTTGAATGGGCAAAACTTTGCTGAAAGACACCAAATAGTTTAAAAAGCATAAAGGTTAGAAACAAGAAAAATAAAAGCATAAATGTCCTTAAAAGGCTGAACATGTCAATACCTGAATGGTTTTCATAGCTGAAAGTATGCTGAAAAAATTTAGTGCCAAAAAACGGACGGAAGAAACCAGAATAACTAGAGAATTGCATTTTCTGAAGAAAATGCGTATGGATGCTGAGGGCTGAAAGATCGCCCTGAAAATGCTGAACATTTTGACACCTGAATGGTTTTGCTAGCTGAAAATGTGCTGAAGTAGAATTTTCCCATTCATTTGAATAAGACAAGATTTTCAAAATAAAGCTAAATATTTCAAAAGTATGAAGTTTAGAAAATTTCTGAAGAGAAGCATGAATGTCCTTAAAGAGCTGAACATTTTGATAGCTGAATCAGCATCCATACAATAATATTAATAAAGACCAGGATAACATAGTATGGATGCTGACTCAGCATCCATACAATAATAATAAAGACCAGGAAAACAAGGTATGGATGCTGAATCGGCATTCATACAACTAGTGTTATAGACCCTGAATTAAGGTTTTCCTCCACGAAAACCACCAAAACAGCTCTTTATCATCTTGGGAATGTTGTCCAGGTGTGCCCCATTTTAACCAAGACTGCAGGAAAACTCATCCACATGACAAGTAGACGATATTAATAAACAGGTAGAACTCCACATTAATCTTTAATTTGTGTGTGGCATTCTCACAACTTTGCTACAAGGCTTTTCTTCTGGCTCCCTGTAGCTTTTAGAAATGATATTAACATCCTTTTATTCATTTGTAAAACTTTTCAAGCCAAGTCTATTAAACCAAACTATTAAATCAATTTTCTTCTGGACGAGCTCTGAGGTACTGCTCTCTGAACACCATGGAACCAGGTGAAAATTTAGTTTTTTGACTTGGCTTTTAAACTATGCATTTGTATTTTCTTTAGCCATTTAATTTTTATTGATTTATCCTATGATTCTTGACTGATTTATATTTTTATTAATGTACTGTTATATTTTTTTGTGAAACACTTTGAAGTACTTCTGTTGTATGAGTTGTGCTATATAAATAAATGACAGATTTTCTAGAGGGGTTCTGTGTTGAGTTAGATTGTTAAATGGACAATTAAATTTTTCCATATACAGTCAATGCTACAGTCATTAAACATCCCTGGAGAACTGTGTGCACTATCTAGCTAGCTATTTTGTACCTTTTTAAGGTGTGGCCTGTGAACACATGCCATTCTTCTGTTGCATAAGTCATGCATTACACAGATGACTGTGAGAAAGGCAAACTAGCATAAACAGTCACTGACTGTATCTTTGTACATTCTCTGCTATTTTTCATTTGTAGTGAAGCAGAACCCAATCATTAGAAGGGATATGAGGCATGTGCAGTAAAGTAATAACACCGTTTGGTTTGTATTACTTATGAGAATAAGTAACTATGACTGCAGTAATAAACATAAAATTGAATGTATATATGACAATTTCACCAAACACTGAAACATTTTGAGCTTCATCAACACAGATGATAAGGCGGAAGTGTTGAACTGAAGGACACAGAGTTGTACTGGTGTGCAACTTTCAATTTAGCTGGGCAGGTTAAGTGCATGTGCGTTTCTGTCATTCTCCCCTTCATCAACAGAGGTCATGTTCTGCCTGCTTCAGAGGCAGTAAAGGTGCGCAGCCTGGGATAATAATGATGACCACACAGCATATTGTGTGATAACTGAGTTGAGTTAAGAGACCATCGCGTTCCTTGTGAATAAGCCATTATGAGAAATACTTTATATTATATTATATTACACACCATGAACCACTGGACTATTGCAGCTAATGTCTTTGTTTTCATTAGGATGATGCTCATGTGACGTTGGCAGTCTTTACATAACACACAAATGAAAGGACAGGGCAGCTAAATGTCAGCATCGTGCTCATGTTATGCATAATCATTAGGTGACTGATACAGCCAAGTGCGTATGCGTGGAAGATATTGCAATATATGTGGACGAAGCAGCCGCTATTGTTTTGTGTAGCCATGATTGTAGTCCTTTTAGATTCGCCATTGTGTGACGCCGATGCTACATTCAAGGGATCCTCATTAGCTCCGACGTTTCAAATCTAAGTCCTTGTAAGGTGAGCTCATTATATTGTGGATTTAAGTATTTTATATCGTCTTTTAAACCAAATGTGGTTTCCTGTGACAAAGTGTGTCTGTTTCATTTTTATAAGTCAATCAACGTACGTAATGATTTAGTCTATTTTAAGTGTAGACTTTAATGCAATCACTGACATTTCACACCAGGCTGACAAATCTATGAACCTATTTCTTTCACATCGACTTTCCAACAAGAAATGCTGTCACTTCATACAGGCACTTCACAGAGATGCTCAGGTTCAGGGACACCCCCCCCCCCCCCCCCCCCCCTGCATAATATATACTGTGTCATAATACAGGACAGCCTTCCTTTCTAGATCATAATGAATGCAGGTGTAATCAAGACGTACTGTGAACGAATGCAAACCCCACAGCAAGCCTACTTTATCTGCTTGTTATTAACCGTATTTGCGACAGTGCCTGAAGGCAGCACGATTCGGTGGCTGCTGAGCTGATCTTTGTGAGAGCGGATCCGAGCGGTCAGAGTTAGTAAGGAGCAGCAAACGCACAGAGACGCGAAAAGAGCGTGGAGACAGCTTTTGTGTCCCAAAGTCCATACTTGCGACCATTACAGAGTGACAACGACGGACTTAAAATGGTAAGAGGGTATTTACAGAGTTGGACAGGGCGGCGCTGTTTTCTGACGACAATCTATCCAAGAGTTAGCTGATTAGTGCTAAACAGCTAGCGAACTGTTTTCCTGACTCATTACTGAGCAGCCCGAGAGGCTAGGCTGCCATTTTGCCTCAATAACACAGGCAGTTGGTGTGTCTTTGGTTATTTAAGGTTACCTCAGCGAATGCAGCGTTTATGTTGAGTATATCCCACACACATATTTATTTCTGAAAATATATACCTGAAATAATAAATATAGTCCTGTTAGAGCTTGTATTTTGTTTCATAGCTAGCGCACTCGGCGCCAGGCAGCAGAGCTAGCTATAAGCTAACTAGCTAATTGAGAAGCTAATGATATGTAGCAGGGTTGCGTAGCAGTTTCTGACTCCTTTCGCGGCTCAGCGTTGAAAAATTCTCAACAGATATTTTCAAAATCAATCAATGTATAGCGTCTTCGTGCTTTGTGACATATTTACAAGGCTTTACTTTAGCTGATGCTACCACAGCTCGTCTTTAAACTGAATCGATCTGCGTACTGCCGCTTTGGAGTGAAGCATAGAGATTTGAACCTGACATAAGACTTCCACCATCCTGGAAAAGACCTGCGACATTGACATTGTTCATTTCCTGCTCTGAATGGATCAGAAAGATAATTAAAACAGGCTAGGTTTCTTAACAAGGCTTGAGTATTTTATAAATGTAGTTTCCTGTGAATGATCAGGATCTGTTGGATGAAAATATTGTTGTTTACTGACCGGCTCCTTCCCATTTCCTTGCGCTTTTAAAATGGAGAAAACAAATACAGTTGAAATACATAGTTAGTGGTAAATGCCCATTCATCGCCTTCTTTTTGGAAGATTGTAAATGTGTTTATATTGATGGGGCCATTAAGGAAAAGTTGTGGAGTTTTTTTTAGTGCAGGAGTCTTGCAGTCACATGAAACAGTGTTTTATCTTCAGTAGCTTTTTAAGCCAGTTATTTTTAATAATGCATCTTCTATTCACTCAAGCAGAGCTATAGTACTTTACAGTTCAATTTAGTTTTGATTGCATATATGGAAGATTTGATTGATTTAAAGGGCTGCCTTAGTCACCATGGATTTCTGTAATTGTTATTTTCCAGGTCTGGACATATTAGGACATGAAGAATATGTTTTGAAAAAGCTTGTCTCACTTGGATTGTATGCTATGTAGTTGTATTGTTTTATGCTTTTGTTTCCACTGATTGGTCAGAACTTGTCTCTTGCTCACTGGCAATTTAATGGAGAACAGACTAGTGCTGTTCTGCCATATTTAGTTGTTTTAATTTCACTTTTATGACATTTCATGATGATAGTTGTAGTATTAGGACAATCATGGAAAAATTGTGTAACGTATGTTGACAAATCTTAAATAAGACAAATCTTATGCACCTGTATGTCAGTAATGTGTTCTTTATAATCTGTGATAGGGATGTGGAGTAAATGAACAACTACATGAGAATATGCATTGTTTAGGCTGAAAAGACAAGTTACATCTAAGTACTAGTACTGGCCTACTTATAAAAGAGCTTTAGTGCAAACATTGGCACAAACAAGGTGAAGTTTCTCAGAAAAACCCATCTTAAAGGTACATTAATTAAGAGTTTACATACTATATGATATCCCCAGTGACAGTGAGACAGGACATGGTGTATCTCAGCTACCCCCACCCCCCACCCACCCTCTGCTGCCTCCAGCCCTCCTGTTCTTATTCCAGCTTCTCTATCCTTTGTACGGTCTGTAAATAAGCCCCGCCTTGCCACCTAGCCAAGGATAGAAGATGGGTTTTTCCAGCCAGTAGTCATGTCAAACAGCCATGGAGGAGCTCTGGGCAGCTAAAAGTCTGAACCAGCAGCTGCCAGAGTGAAGAGGTGACGACTTTTGCACAGAGAAAATGGGACACAGAAGGTTTGGCTGTTTGACACGGAGAGGGTTAAAAAGCTGCCAGAGGACTCAGACTGGATTTAGATGTGGTGTTCTTCCTTCTGGATGTGTTAGCATCTAAAGCTAAGTTTGTAGCATTAGCCATCTAGCATGGTCAGGATTTTACCTTTGTGCTGAATTAATATGATTTTAATTTGGGAGGAACTGGAGCTTTGTGTAGCATCAGTGCTTTGTGTAATGTCAGCAGTAACCAGAGCGTTCTACTGGACTAACACGTTTATTGTTAGCCTGCTAACGCCAGCTTCAGATTTGAGGCTGCACTGTGTGCAGTTTGTCCCAACCAGGCATCCATAGTTTACATCACTGTTAAGATACAGGACATGATGGGAGGTGAAAAGAGTACTTAAGAGCAGCTTATGTTTGTTTTGAGTCTTGCTACCTAATTTCCCCTCACCAAAATTTCTTCAGAAGAGCATTCATAGCACTCACCTGCTTTTGTCTTTGGTGCATTGAAACCAGTTGTATAGAATCAGAATCAGCTTTATAGGACAGGTGTGTTGGACACACAGGGAATTTCACTGGTACCGTGGCTCTCAGTAGTCTTCACAGAAAAAAGTTGTTCTTTCCTTGCATTTTTTTCTTTGCTTCTTTTCCTGGCATCTTTTGTGGTCAGGATAAAAGGAAAAGATAAAAGTGATAGAAAAGTGGATGCAATTAAGGTAGTTGGGATGTACCCTGATGTCAGCTGTGATCATGCCTGTCCACCTTTACCCTCTCTTACCTGTCCAGGTCTGTTTGCCTGATATGTGCAAGGTGCTGTGAAATCTGTCAGCATTGAGGGAAGCTGTTGTGAAGTCAGTCCAAGAGGGCTGTGAGTCTTTGCTTGGCTGCTCCACAGAATGCTGAGCAGAGAAACCAAACTCAGAAGCTGCTTATGCTAATGAAATGTCCTCTTTCCTTCCTAACCTGGCACACGATTGTTTTGATTGCACACACAAACCACATACTTTACAAGCATGGCAGAGTTCAAGAAATTCTCCTCACTGTGATCCAGATTCAGCTGAAGAGCTATTTTGCTCCTTCTGACTCACCTCAGAGTTTGACATTTTTGTTTACGTCACCACAACTCGTATATAAGGATGGAGATCAAATCCTAAAGTCAGAGATGTTTCTGAGTCGGCACTTTGTGCAAATGACAGGTTCATACATGTTTAGCTGTGTATTTAAATGTGGGGTATTAGGTTGTTGTGTCTGGTCAGGACACACTGTGACTAGGGTAATCTGATTTACAAGGCACAGCTTGTCCCCCCCAGCACTGTTCTACCCTTTGCCACCATCCTTTGCATACTCAACTCGCATGCAGACATGTGGTGCTAACACCTGCAAACCTTAATAGTTAGTGTAGGAGAGTAGAGATCAGCTGATGGGGGTGTTTATCACCTAGAAGTCCTAATATGAAAATCTGCTGTCCTCTGGAGTCATCATACTGCTGGAGACAGCAGGGTAGGGACCTATTTTTGCCAGCCATTTTATTTTAATATAAAGAAATGTATTTGTGTTGCTCACTTGCAACCATGCAGTTTGATGGCATAAGGTGTCTCCATCCATAGATGGATGCTTTTGCTTATAGTGTTTATTTGTTTTTTTGTTGGTGCCATTAGTACTTCATGTCATGTAATCCATCATAAAAATAATTTTTCTGAAAGTCCTGCCCTCTGCCGGCTGCAGCGAGGTCACAAACCTATCAACAGCGAGTTTCATTTTGTCCTGTCATCAGTTTAAGTCACAGAGTTAGATAGATAATCCTTTATCATTGTAACACGTACAACTAAATTTTAGAGTGACCTCTAGTCGGTACAACAATAGAAAAAAAAACCACAAAAGTTTTTCATATGGTCTTAACCGCTAGAAAAATGAAATAAACAGAGCCATCAAACTCGTTATAGGTCAGATGCTGTTGTGGCACATATCTAATACCTTCTAGTGTGTAAATTTGAAACCTGATCGCAGTGCCACTGCGAAGGGCACCTTTCATACCACCTCTGAATAGAAGAGATGCAGAGACTGAACACTCTACCTTCTGTAGTTGAATGGCTACTCGCAGGTATTGTCTGCCCCAGTTGCCATGGCAACTGCAGGAGCACCTCAGGCAGGTAGGCCTGGCTGTTTGAGTTGCATGATGATCTGCTGAAGAGAAGCGGAGGCTGAAATGGGTCTAGAGTCCAGGCTGAGCTGTGTAGGCTCTGTATCAATCCGTAAATGCACAAACCAGCATCTTTGTGGGCCAATGCTGTTTAGTTTAGGATACATAGAAAAACATGAGACTGCTGGAATTGAAATTTTAAATGTGAACTTATGTTTATTAAATGTGCATTTTCATCACTGGATTGGAGATGCTGTAAATGTGAATAAAATGAAAACAAAATGTGTCAGATGCAGTAGAAACAGACCTGGTGAATAAATTGTGATGTATGTGAAGCATGTGACTGACATGTCACCAAAGCAGACAGAGCATCTGCTTTGCCCGGAGAGATGACAGTGCTGCAAGTTCCTCAAAGACGTGAAACAAAAATGACACATTTCCACAACTGTTTTTTTAATGATATAATGACCAGTTTATTGGCTGTTGACTAGAGAATTAGCACCACCATCTGTTTTATCTCAATGCACTCAGTCCCTGAATAATGGTCTTGGATTGAACTCTGCATTATTTTGCAGATTTACTGGAAATTCAGTTAAAATTTGTGCAAGTTTTGGATAAAACCTGACTACTGTGTGTGTGGTGGTGGTTTTCTTTTTCACTCTGGGAGTTGTGCGATATGTTTTCCACAGGTCTGCTCACAAGTCTTTTAAGTCCTGCATAAATATTTTAATATTTATTTGAAGCAGGTAAACTAAAGTGTAAAACTAAAGTTTGTGGCAGCAGATTGCAGCTGCAGCGCTGTGGTCAGTCTGTGGAGACAGATCGGACCTGGAGATGTTGACAGATTTCAGTAACTGATGGATGTTTAATCCAAATCTCTGCCTGGATCTTACTGCTGTGTCAAGGCTTTTCTTCAGCCTCAGTACTTCCTCTTTCCCATGGTGCTGCTGGGAACCAGTACTGGAAAAAGTACTGCAGTATATAATTAGAAAGATTGTATTATACATGTTTTTCTATTACTGGCACTGTCATTTTGTTTTGCAGTGTTTAGGAGACAGTTGTAGTCACTCAGTCACTCTTGATATCGGTAGATGAGGTTGTTCCAGCGTCTGGTTCTGAGGGAGTTTTGCTGACTTCATGGATGATCAGCAGCAGAGCCGCTGCACCGTGCTGCTGTCCATTTCCATCACTCTGCTCAGCTGGTAAAGTTTATGACCAACCACGTAGTCGCTCCCATGTTGCGTTGTATGTGATGATGCAGTGAATCCACAGCTCAACTTGAGGGCAGACCTACCACTTGTTTTTAATATTCTTTTAAGACATTTATCAAGGAAAAAATTGTCACTTTTTTTCCCCCCAGAGTCTAAGCTGTGAGGATTTGCTGTTTTTTTTCTTGGGTCTTATATCACTATAAACACAATATTTAGGGATTTCAGCTGTTGGTCAGACAAAAAAAAAAAAAGCTGTGACTTTGACATTTTATAAACTAAACAATTAAAATGTCTTGAATAAATGTTTAGTATTTAACATGAATTAAGTTGCAGCTTCTCAGTTTGAGGATTTTCTACTTATTAATCTGAATTTGAAGATGACCCTATGGGATCTAGGAAAATTTGATTGCAATTTTTAATTGATTGAAAAAATATTTTTAGCTGTTTCTGGTAAACAATTTTTAGTTTTTGACAGTGTAATGAAATACTTACCAGTATAACCAGTTTGCCATAAAAATAACTGCTTTTTGTGTTTGACCATATGAATATCTAAATATTATTTGGTGTTGACTGTATCATCATGAGCAGCTTGCCACAAACACACATTTGCTTACCTTATTTAAAGACCCAAGTGTCAGTATTTTTAACCATGTTTTTTTTTTTTAAAGCAGCAATGGATTTGGTACTGCCACATCACTGAGTCTGCTCAGGCGCCAAGTGTTCGGTCACCATCCATCCACAGACAGGAAGTAAACATAGCAGGTCACTCAGCTTCCTCCCCCTTCCTCTGATAAACTGTTGCACTTGGGTTATGTCCTGATTCTTTGGCCCTAATATCTGTGAGATGGGCAGTGCTGCATGCCTGGACTTCTAAATATAGCAATGCTGCCTACATGTACACAGCAGTTTCTACCCATACACCCTCTTCTTAGTCGCTCTGGTTCTTTTAGGCTTCGCTTGCACAGAAAGGGATGCGTCATTTTTGTCTGGCCTTTGATGAGTCGTCTTTGCTTTTCTTTGTATCAATATGAAAGAAATTGCACTGGGTATATCCCCAAATTAATCAGCTCTGTGTCCTCCTGCAAAGCTGCCAAAATGTGGACAATTGCATCAAGTGAAAGACCAATTGAATTGGTCATAGCAGCTTTGACTGATTTTAATTAGGGTCACAGCTAATGATGATTTATCAATTAATATGACATTTCTTATTTTTACTAAATCAAATTATTTCATCTTTAAAAAAATGAATCAGTTGATGGATTTGTCTATAAAATGTCAGAAAATAGTCTAGCAGTGATCCTTGGTGTTATCTCTCTGCTTGTTTATTTAGAACAGACTGACTATTTTCTTAATTTTTTTTCTTATTAGAATAAAAAGACAGATGTACATATTAGAGCTTTTTTTATCTGTTGATCAGTGTCCACAAAGCCTGTTTACTTCCCCTCTGCATGTGAATAATCAACAGTCATTTATACCCATTGTGAATGGTCTGTTATGTTTGCCTCCTTGTTTCCTGATTCCCCTTTCTGTGGCTTGAAAGATGTTGATGCTGCAGATTCCATGGGAGTGGAGCATTCATTCGCCACCTTCCTGTGTCCTGTAGGTGGGGATGAAGTTACAGCTTTAGCTCTGTAAGTTAGCCTTAATGGTCTGGTCTGGTTGGACTGTCATCAGCGTTGCTGTTAAACCAGCTGAGTGTTGCAGTCCTGACCTGACCTCATATTCACATACTTGATTTGAGCCGAGTGCGTTCAGATTTCTTTTATGCTTCATTTATGTGTGTATTAATTGTTCACTAATGCAGCATTGCTTATGTTTACATCGATGGCAGCTTGTCACATCAAAGTGTCTTTTTGGAACCTGATAGAATTACTGAAAGGTCTGGATGAGGCTTTTAGACCAGTGCTTTAAAATAAAAATGGGCTTGTAGCGGCTAAGAAGAAACTTGGCAAATGATCACTGTTGACTGTACTGGTGAAGGAAGTGATGGTGTTGAAGTGGACTAATCTGTCATTAACTGAGTAATGTCAGGGTCTGGGCAGCACTGTGTCTGCAGGGATCAAAGCCAAATGCCAGGTGATAAATCCACATGACCTACCTGGCTAACTACTAGCTCAGTACTAAGGAAATGGAAAGTTCTCTAATTTATTTTGGGGTTTGAAATTATTCTTCAGTTTGTGTCCCTGCAATAACAAGGCTAATCAAGATCATTAACCATAGTGCGTTTCATCTTTCTTTGTTTCACAGGTCATCTTGTGAGGAACGCTGAAGCTTTTAGGTGAAGGAGTGGCAGCCAGTGCCACCCAGGCGTGCAGAGTGGGACTGCATTCTGTCTCTCCACTGACGACTGACTTCCCCAAGTGCTGCTACTCCTGCCCCCAGATGGACTACGTACTCTGAGAGCAGAGCGTGTTGGGACAGAAAGCAACCGAGGAGAGGAGGATAGGCGGGGAGATAGCTCACCGGAGCAGGAAAGGGAGGGCACTGTTTGGTAGGGAGAGGAGAGGGGCTCTACGATGTCATCCAACAGGACCCCGAACCCCCATGGACTGAAACAGATAGGCCTGGACCAGATATGGGACGACCTGCGTGCTGGCATCCAGCAGGTGTACACACGGCAAAGCATGGCCAAGTCTCGTTACATGGAGCTCTACACGTATCCTGTGAGAGTGGTGGAGGTTGCTGATGTGTGGCCTTTATTGTAGTGTTGAATGGATTTTTGCAAGTATACCTCTAACTATACCTGAATAATTTGATAACTGATCAACAGATAATCACCAAAAATTGAGATACATTTATTTATTGATTAATGGGGATGGGATTTGGCGCCCTGATAGCCAGATAGTTGCGGTGTGGCACACCTTATACAAAGCACAGTGTGTGGCGACATTGGCAGATCAGTGTTGGGGTGCACCTGGTCTCCAGTCTATGACCAGGCTGACACATTCACACCTGTGGGCAGTTTAGTCACCTGTCAGTCTAACCTGCATATCTTTGGACTGTGTCCTGGAGAAAGGCCAGCCAGGCACAAGGAGAACATGCAGACTTGACACAGACAAGCCCTGGTCAGCCATAAGGTTTTGAACCCTGTTTGTGAGGTGACAGTGCTAACTGCTGCACCACAATGCAGTTTAGTGTTTCAATCTTAGTGAGAGCATTTTAGTCTGTGATGTGTGTGTCTGACTTTATTCCTCAACCCTTCCCTCAGACATGTATATAACTATTGCACCAGCGTCCACCAGTCGACCCAAGGCAGGGGCTCTGCGCCTTCAGCTAAGCCCTCCAAAAAGTCCAACACTCCAGGTGGGGCTCAGTTTGTAGGCCTGGAGCTCTACAAGCGACTTAAGGAGTTTCTGAAGAACTATTTGACCAGCCTGCTCAAGGTGAGGTCACATGCTAGACAACACCTTTGTGTTCCTAAACCTCAGAGCTCCCAGCTACTCAGGGTCACTCTGTGTTATACCACTTCTATTTTCTATGTAGTTACCTTTCATTTGCTTTTCTCCCACTTTTTTTCCCTGCAGGATGGAGAGGATCTAATGGATGAGTGTGTGTTGAAGTTTTACACCCAGCAATGGGAGGATTACCGTTTCTCCAGTAAGGTCCTCAATGGGATCTGCGCCTACCTCAACCGCCACTGGGTCAGACGAGAGTGCGATGAGGGGCGCAAAGGCATATATGAGATTTACTCTGTAAGTCAACACCTGTGTGGGCTCCTCATGCAAACCTAAATGATTTCACCTATGGCTGTGCAATATGACCAAAATCTCATATCTATATGCAGGTCATTTCAGATAGTGATTCATATCACTATCAGCACATTTTCTGTAAATTCAGTGAGTAGTTTATATAAGATGAATGCATGGAAAGGCCCGTTTCTTTTTACACTTGAATTATATACTCGACAATTACGTACTTATGCTTAATTAATTTTAGCTGTTTATTTAGAACCTTTGTACAAATTTTCAGTTAACCATGTAACAACCGTGTAAACTGGGGCCATGTCTTTGCAGATTTAAGTTGTAACTGTTTTCTTTTGACTTTGAGATTATTTGCCATGAGATGTGTTCCAGGCAAAAGTTTTGTACTTCTGTGGCTCTCGTCTGTAGAGTTTGACTGACTTGATTCTTCTGTAGGTGATTTTAAAAAAAAAAAGGTTAGTGATGTTTGAGTCTGTTGTGGGGACTGGCCTGGAGCATTATTTGCAAAGTGCTGTTTTCTGGTCCTTGTCAGACTCTGCATACCCAAACCATGTCCACACAACCAAAGGAACCTCCTTTTAGGTACGAGCTCCTTGGTTTGTCTCTGCTGGTCGGAGTCCTCCTGTTTGGAATGACTGTGTTCTGTGTTAGATTCATTCTCCTGGCCTTCATGCAGAGTGCCCATGGCGTTTCCTGCCTGAATCTCTGCCATGTGGAAAAACCCAAAGCATCTTCAAAATGAGGAGAAATATTGGCATAAAGAGCATGATTTTTGACACAGAGAAATAAACGATAGAGCACAATATGAAACGATAGATGTTTTTCTGTCATCATATGGTTTATATCGTTATATCTTATATCTAATTTCACCAGGATTACTTGATTTAAAAGTTACAAAATACATAAAGGCCCCTACAGTGTCAATGCCTGCAAATGTCACCACACAGCACCATGTGAAAATCATTTAATCCTTCCCTGTTATTTCCTCCCAGCTGGCACTTGTGACCTGGAGGGAGTGTTTGTTCCGACCCCTCAACAAACAGGTGAGAAGCTTTTTGTAGAAGCTTTGTGAAAAATACCAGTGGAGATTAAACATGGAGATCAAAGAAATGCAAACAGTTAACAATACTCATTTTGCTCTCATCTCACCCACAAAACTTGTGAAGTAAACATGTTCTTCTCTTTCAGGTGACAAATGCTGTGCTGAAGCTGATAGAGAGAGAGAGAAATGGCGAGACCATAAACACGAGACTGATCAGCGGAGTGGTCCAATCTTATGGTAGGTCCATAAGTACAGTGAAGATGTAATGAGAAACAACCTGGTCACCTGATGTCTGCTGCAGGCAGACATCAGAAGGAGGGAGTAGAGAGCACCATATGATCCAGAAGCACGCACAGAGGCTAAGAATAAACTGATAACTGTGAAGGTAACGATGGGTGAAACAGGTCAGCTGTGGGATTATAAGATTCTTCTTTTGTCTCAGATAAATTGTCTAAAAGACGATATGAAAGCAAAATGTGAAAGGAAAACAATGCTCATTTTTCTGATGTGAATCATAGTTATGGGCAGAACAAACTCAGATTCATAGTGCAGATTTTCTACCCTAACCATATTAAACTTTCACCAGAGCCAGCTGTTTTGTTTTGCATGTTCCAGTCTTGCCTGTGTAATACCTGTTCTTGTCTCACATTCCTTCCTCCAGTTGAACTGGGCCTGAACGAAGAGGATGCCTTCGCCAAAGGCCCCACCCTGTCTGTCTACAAAGAGTACTTTGAATGTCAGTTCCTCACTGACACAGAACGTTTCTACACACGGGAGAGCACAGAGTTCTTGCAGCAGAACCCCGTCACAGAGTACATGAAGAAGGTGTGTGTGCAGTTAATGAATGAATTCAACCTGTTTATGGTTTGTTTTGCTGCATTTGAAACAGGATCTTTAGTGTAAAGGAAGGTGTTGATCCTGTTAAAGCTAAAAAAAAAAGATCTCTATATGTTTTTACTTATTTGTTTGTGTTTTCCCTAGGCGGAGGCCCGTCTTCTGGAGGAGCAGCGGCGTGTGCAGGTTTACCTTCATGAATCCACCCAGGACGAATTGGCAAGAAAGTGTGAGCAGGTCCTCATAGAGAAACACCTGGAGATCTTCCACACAGAGTTTCAGAACCTCCTCGATGCTGACAAGAATGAAGGTAAATCCATGTTTCTTGTGTGTGTGTGTCTTTGTTTTCTTGCTTAACGATATTATTTAAAAGGATGTGTGTTTGTGATGTCGACTGAAATCCTAGCTGATAACACTGTTGTTGTGCTCTACCTCCATCTTCTTGTAGACCTGGGACGGATGTACAACCTGGTGTCGCGGATCACTGATGGTCTGGGTGAACTGAAGAAACTTCTAGAGTCTCACATCCACAATCAGGGCCTGGCTGCCATTGAGAAGTGCGGAGAGGCCGCACTCAATGTACGGACCCCTTTTAACCCTCTACAAGTTATCAGTTAACAGGGTTGCAGCGGTATCCCTCTTTCATGCTATACCATGGTATGTTATGGCAGTGCTAGATAAACAAGCCAAGTTACCACCATCCAATCCACTACTCAGAGGAAATTTGGCTAAAAAGGTTTCACGCAAATTCACAGGTACATTCTGACTGTTCATCAAAATTACTAGCCTGAACATTTAACCTATTCGGCTTTTAATACAAGCTACTCTTAGCCACGTTAGCGATGCAGCATTACATTGCGGCTAATGAGGCTAAGATAAACAGGCCTACTTCATGCACAAGCAGTAAAATAGCTTAATTACTTAATAAATAATTTTACAAATAGAACATACCATGGACAGATGACATCACGAGACAGTGGGGGAGCTGTCTTTGACCCAAATATGTATGTTTCTTCCAGGACCCTAAAGTGTACGTCCAGACCACCCTGGACGTCCATAAGAAGTACAATGCCTTGGTCATGTCTGCCTTTAACAATGACGCTGGTTTTGTGGCGGCTCTTGACAAGGTCAGTAATATAACTGAGAAATAAAACCTGCAGGAGGGTAAGTTTAGAGAGAATCAAAGCATCGGCCCATCCAAACTGTATAGGTGTGACCGTTCTTTAGGTCAGATTTTAAAATTGTGACTGTCTGTTTTCAAAGGCATGTGGTCGGTTTATAAACAACAACGCCGTCACCAGGATGGCTCAGTCATCCAGCAAGTCTCCTGAGCTGCTGGCCAGGTACTGCGATTCTTTGCTCAAGAAGAGGTAGGTGAAAAGTGGCGTGGGTGCAAGCTGAATGTCTGTCTGGTTTTGTTTGTTTTGTTTTTTTAAAATAAGTTAATTTTGGCTGAAACAGGTCAATGTTCCGCTGTTTTCTGTCTTCGTTGGGAATTTACAGTTTGATTTGATTTATTCTTTCAAGCATGTAAAAACAGTTGATATGACAACACACATAATTTTACACATAATCCAGTATCAATTTGCTTATACCTAGTACATGCTTGAATGGAGTAGGAAGAAGTCAGACTTATCCAGTCCTACCCCATGACATCATCTTACCATCGTTGGTTTGCAAGCAGTAAATGATTCACTTCTACCCACACAAGTATTATACTAAAACGATTATACAGTGTTAACATTCTTACATAATTCCATGACATCTGCAGGTGCTTCATCTACTAATGGTTGAAAGAACAAGGACCTGAGTGGAGTTGGCTTTGTCAGCTGTGTCTTTCACGCTCAACATTTTGTGATTTCACCACAGATATTTTTTTTTAAGATTGTGGTTGTTAGCAACATGTTTCGGTTTGATCTTGAGCTTCTGTTAGTGGTTAAAATCTTATCCTTGCTCGTTGTATGTGTTTTCTCTGTAGCTCCAAAAACCCAGAGGAGGCTGAATTGGAGGATACACTCAACCAAGTCGTATGTTACTTATGTGTTTACGTTGATTGTCTGTACTGGTGTTTCAGCAGTACTGGCGCTGCAGAAGTATAGCTGTACTGCTGATGCTGTTTTGTACTTGGGGGGATGCTTGCATAAAGAATTCAATGAACAATACTTACATATATAACACATTTTCACCAGTAGATTGCAGCATTAATGTATTTAAAGCTGTACAGATTTATAAATGTTACACATTTTATTTAAACATGTACTAATTATTGCAAGTATTCAGTTTTTTGTTCTGCAAATAATTTTATACCTTAATACATGAATGTGTATTTCTGCATTTCCTCTTCCAGATGGTTGTGTTCAAATACATTGAGGATAAAGATGTTTTCCAGAAGTTTTATGCTAAGATGCTGGCCAAGCGTCTGGTCCATCAGAACAGTGCCAGTGACGATGCAGAGGCCAGCATGATCTCCAAACTCAAGGTCTCACAAGAAGAGCTCTATTACACGCTGACAAACTGTTAGTTCCCATATCCGAACATATTCAGAACCTCAGACTGAACCTGATTTTTGTTCTTGTTGCTGTGCAGCAAGCCTGTGGGTTCGAGTACACGTCCAAACTGCAGCGGATGTTCCAGGACATCGGAGTTAGCAAAGACCTGAATGAGCAGTTTAAAAAACACCTGAGCAACTCTGAGCCTTTGGACTGTTAGTGAACACACACTCATTCAGTACTTCAGCTGTCTGTCTGATGCTCTTCTTATTAGTCTACATCCTTCCACCGGTCATCACAAATCCACCATTCCTTGATCTGTGTATCCTGTTTTCTAATGTGACAGACTATAAATGCACAAGAAATGAAGGTTGTTCACTTAAAAACATATTTTTTAGGGTGTCGTATAAATATAGTTATTTTTGGGATCAACTTTAACTATGGTGGAAACACTGAAGACCCAGTGCACCACAACTGTCACTGTAATCAGTTTGCTGTGTGTTCAGTTTATTGTTTTAGGGCTTGTTTTTTGTTAAAGCAGCTGGCTGGCTGTGCTTGTTACACACTGTGGGTCGTCTCAGACCAAACTGCACTTTAAATTGACCTAACATTACAAGTGTTTCAGTGAGGCAAAATATGCTGAACTCTGTTGTATAAAAGACTGCAAAAGCACATAAAGTGATGAACTGACACAGGTCGGTTTCTCTGTGTGTTGCAGTGGACTTCACTATCCAGGTTCTGAGCTCTGGCTCTTGGCCTTTCCAGCAGTCCTGCACCTTCGCTCTGCCCTCTGAGGTGAGACTCATTCACTGTGCAGACCCACATTTATCTAAAAACAGGTGTTGAGTCGAAATCAAACTACGCAGACATCCAGGAAATAAGGGAGGAAAGGTAATTTGGCTGAAGTCTGTGTGAGTCCTGGACCTTTGTCATTAAATACAATTCAGGACAACAGTTTGTTTTGCTCTAGAAATCTAAATTACAGTCATAAATCTTTTGGCCATTAGCGCTCACAGTGTTGTTGTAGCACCATTATTCCAGGACATATAACCAGGAGTACTGGAATACTTGTCAGGAACTCCTTCACATACTCGCAGTTTAAATGCCAGTTCTGTCCACTGAGTGGCAGTCCTATCAGGGCAATAAAAATCTGTTTCCCACAGTTAAATCAAGACTTTCAGGTGTTGTTGAGAAGGTCCCAGACCTCCGATCAAGAGCCCAAGCTCTGACCACGCTGTTGTTTTCAATGTCATTGTTTGCAGCTGGAGCGAAGCTATCAGCGCTTCACGGCATTTTACGCCAGCAGACACAGTGGCAGGAAGCTGACTTGGCTCTATCACCTGTCCAAAGGAGAGCTGGTCACCAACTGCTTCAAGAACAGGTCAGTGTTTGTATGATGTTAGAGACCACAGGCGGATGGCCTGTGTCTTTATTACAGCATCTTATCAAGCTGTTGACTCTGTCTGATCAATGGATGTCTGGCTGGATTATATCAGCTGTTTATGACTGAGACATTGAGTCATTAACAGAACATTTGTACTTTGTGAATGATTCCCCTAAAAACAGCTGCATTGTCGAGCTGAATCCATCATCTAATCCAGCTGTTGCATCAGTTTGACTCTGAACACATCTGTGTTTGTTGTGGAGCATGTGGAGACTCGTACTAGTGAGAAACGGGCCGAACTATTAGAGCTAGTCTCATACTGAGCTGTTGTTGTGCAGGTACACGCTGCAGGCCTCCACCTTCCAGATGGCCATCCTGCTGCAGTACAACACAGAGGACAGCTACACCGTCCAGCAGCTCACAGACAGCACACAGATCAAAACTGTAAGCAGGACAACGTGCAGATACACTCTCACATAGGATTTATTGTTGATGCTAGTCTCATGAAGTATGAGGTTTAAGACCTCACTGCAGGTGGCCTGTAGTGAAATATACAGTTGTTGTGAAATAAGCAGGGGTGTGACGATACACTTGGCTCACGATATGATTCATGATATCGGGCTCACTAGACGAGACGGTATTTTAACATTATCTTGAGGAAATATTCATTGATGAAATATGACTGGAAAAAGTTTTATTTGACTGGAAGTCACAAAAAACAGTGCAGGTGCAATTTGAAATGTGTTAGTCATCTTGTAATGAATGTCACTTCTGTTCTACTTTGAGTATTTATCATATGTAGCACTGTAAATGGTTTTGCCACAAACTCAACTGGCTGTTCTGTAGGATTTCACACAAGTCTCTTCAGACCTTGTAACTGTATAAGAGAAAACCTTTATTAGTCCTGCAGTGGGGGTATTCACATGTTACAGCAGCAGAGGGATAGAAAACAGGCTCAGTGTTAAGAGTAAAATTAACAGACACGGTATTATCAGTATAAATATAAACAACTGTAGGTTTAAAAAGTAAGACATTGCACTCTGGTATTCATTATTCAGTCTGTGCTGACAGTTTCCTTTATTTTCAGGACATTCTGCTTCAGGTTCTGCAGATCTTGTTAAAATCGAAGCTGCTGGTGAGTAAAACTGGTGCTGGCGGTCCTGTTTTTGCTTTGTATTTGAAGTTGTGGTGTGTGTGTGTGTGTGTGTGTGTGTGTGTGTGTTTTTGTTTGTTTGGTTTTTTGCATTCATGAGTGATTTACACAAATGTCAGTTCATGTGTGAAGCTGCTTGTTAAACGTGAGCTCCTGGCCTCAGGTAGGTACAGGATGCCAGATAAAATCTACACTACTGTTCAAATGTTTGGGTCGGCTCCATTTTTCCAGTTTTTATTTTAAGGTGTAAGCTGTTAACCTTGTCCTAACAGTGTAGTAAATTAAATTTATATACTGTAGACACACTACCAGTCAGATTTTTAGAACAGACCCATTTTTTCAGTTTTTATTGATATGGAAGCTGTTCAGGTCTAGTCAATAACTTTAAATGGTACAAAGAAAAGAGGTAAACTGCCAAAGGTAAAAATAAAAAATCCCCAAAAAATAAAACTGTCTGTAAAAAGCCAGGCTTTTCTAAGGGGTCCAGTAACAGGTGAAATTCCATCTTTTCTACAGTGGTAGAAGAAAATTAAGCCTTGAAAACTAGGGCTGCATGATTAATCATTGTGAGTGTGATTTAGATCCCTGTGTGATCTCTGTCTCACATGACAGTGATTCTGCTGTTTGCATTAACGGGGAGACACCTTGCATCAAACCCAGCGCTCCCTTTTTTGGTCATGCAGCCCTATTGAAAACTGATGCAAGCAGTTCCTACAGGTGTCCCATCCGCTGTTGATGACATACAACAACACATTCCATCTGTACAAAGACAGGGTTGGAATAGATTGTGTTACTACAGCCTCTGAGGCATGATTTGGAAAAGGCCATGAACACAGGGAGTCGGAGCTTCTCAGGGTTTCATACAGTAGCAGGAGAATGAGCCAGAAACACATCCAGGCTGTGGAGGAGGACAGAACAAGTGATAGAATGGCAGCAGTGTCCAGACTTGATGACTCACTTGATGCTTTGGGGAAAAACACTAGTGTGGCAGTGATGGGGAGACGTACACTACGTTACCATTACAGGCATTAATGCCAAACCTTTTGGCAAATCTAATGTTTTTGTGTTGATGCTTCACAACCATGTGTGTAAGTGATATGTGTCCAGCTCCAGTGTGAACATCGCCGAGCTCCAAAACTGCCACACATGCCCAGATTTAACTGAAATGTGAGCCACATGGGTACAAGAATAATATCTTTTGTGTGCTGTTGAAATTGCGCAGTCCCCTCAAAGTGCTCTGTTACTGTACCATATGTCGCTCTCAGCTTGGAGTGATCAGAAGTTTCATCATAAATGTTCCTCGTTTCTACATTGAACCATGTCACTGTCGTCACTTCCCCCCCCATCCATGTTTATTTTTACTGGTCAGTGAGGATCCGACCGAGTGTCCATTCACTGACACAACTCAAAACTTCATCTCCCGTGTGTTTATTGTAACAGACATGGGCATGTTTTTTTTTTTTTTTTTTTCTGGATATGAACTTTAGTGTTTCAGAGGAAAATGTGTCTCGTGCCAGTGATGACCACTACGTGTTAACACTGCTGCAGCGCTGAAAACTGTATGTCTCTCAGGTGCTGGAGGACGAGAACGCCAACGTGGACGAAGTTGAGTTCAAACCCGACACAGTCATCAAACTTTTCCTCGGATACAAGAAGTGAGAAACCGCTTTGGTTTGCTGCTGTTCACTTTTATTCAACACACACTTCTAAACAAAAACAGTCATGTAAGAACCTCAAGCAAGTCCAGTTGCCAGCTTCAGCATGTCAGATATACACCATGACCGAGAAGGCCCACAGATATAAAACCATAAAGCTATCATGGTGCTTAGTGCTGCATAGTTTTAAGTTGCTCCCTCCCCCCCCCCTTTGCACTAGTGACCAGCAACGTCCCGATGAAGACGGAGCAGAAACAGGAGCAGGAGACTACTCACAAAAACATAGAGGAGGATCGGAAGCTCCTCATCCAGGTGAATGTTAACACTTCAACACACTGAAGAGGTTTAACTTCACAGAAGGAAGTTTCAGTGTTCAGTTTGTTTGGCGCAAGCACTCAGAAGGTCCACTAAAACATCTTTTTTAAAATGGCAAAATACTTTTTAAAATGTTTTTTACTTGAAAAGTAAAAAATTATTTTATACCTAGTGTTCCCTGTGTGAACAAATGTGATAAGAAATGAATGTGTTCTAGTTTATGTAGAACAAGATGAAACGGTCAACTCACTTCACCATAGGGCTGTAGTCTGCTGTATTGCACTGGTACTAATACACCATGTTAACGTATACATAGGCTGCCATAGTGAGAATTATGAAGATGAGGAAGGTCCTGAAGCATCAGCAACTCCTGGCTGAAGTCCTGAACCAGCTATCGTCCAGATTTAAACCCAGAGTGCCCGTCATCAAGGTAACATGTGCACAGACAATTTTGTATTGGATAAATGCATTTATTAATCCATTGGGTTTTATTTATCTCACTGTATTGGCCATATAACACACAGCTGCTTAGAATCTCTTTCTCACAATGCAAACTTATGACATTAGGTTTGCTGTTTGCATCTTCACTTAAAGGCTTTTTTTTTTAAAACAGTAAATAGTAAAAGTACAGAATATCACATATCCTCAATGAACTGAGCTACTAATTATTGTGTGACTCCAAAGTCTGATGAATCTTAATCCTCTGTCGTAGAGCTGACTAATTTGCTGATTAGATTTTACATAATCGATTAATTAGTAAAATGTTTAAAAAGAAAAAAAAAGGTAAAATGCTGTTCAGCTTCTTAGTCCACACTTTGGTTTGCTATTTATAAATAAAATCTTTAATTTACTGTTGCAAGTCACAAAGAAATGCAGCAAACTATCACATTTGAGAAGCTGTACACAGAGAATACTGTTGTCATTTAACTTTGTGTTGATGGACTCAATGCAGCAGGACGTGGATGAATCCACTGCTGAAAATAGCCACCAACAACTGTCTGTGGAGATTCTCACAGTCAGCTGGGTCCAGTGCTTCAGCTGGCAGCTTGACTTGCTTGACCTTCTTAAAGACATTTCACCTCTGATCCAAGACTCTTCTTCAGTTCTGACAGGCTGGTGGGGAGTGCCAGGTATTTAACCTTAGCCACGTGGGGCAACTGCCCATATGTGACTTCAGGGTGTTAACTGCACAGGTTAAATACCCGGGACATCCAACCAGTCTGTCAGAACTGAAGAAGCTTCTCAATGAGGCAGGAAACGTCTTCAAGGAGCTCAAGTGACTCCAGCTGCCAACTTCAGCATGGTCCCCAACAGAAACACCACCTCCTCCTGATTGTTACAAACTACAGTGTCCAGCTGACACTGGGAAAATGTAACTGTTTATTTATTAGGTGCTATAATGATTTATTTCTTCATTAGGAATAGAGGAGTCAAAGTATTGAGAGACCTTGTTTTGCTCTTATGAGATTTACTGACGGTGACAAATAAAGCCACCCTGATGTCATGGAGGTTGGTGTAATGGGCTCATATTTGGGTTTTGTCTCCCTCTCGTGGACAGAAATGTATCGACATCCTGATAGAGAAGGAGTACCTGGAGCGAGTGGATGGTGAGAAGGACACATACAGCTACCTGGCCTGAACACCGCCCTGCCTGCCGCTGACTCTCCACAGTTTTAATTTTTTGTTATTTTGTTCATTTTTGAGAAAATTTTATGATTAAATAAAAAGTGTGAATCCTTCCGAGCAACGGACTTGTTGCGACTGTGCCACTGACAACGTGATCATGTGGCCGATATGACGACAACATGAGAGGGAGGACCGTGTGAACCGTCTGCTCTCCCTTCAGTGGATGAACGAACAAGTCAGGGAGATTCCATCCACATGTTCGCCTGTCCGGTCCCATCTGTAGGACTCGCACACCCACTTCCCTGCTGTTATATTGTAAATAACAATCACAGACTCTAAGAGGAAAAATAAACCCTTGTCCCTTCTTTACGTAGTGCAACATTAGCTTACTGCCAGTCAGAGGACAGCGCATCTAAAGGTTTCTGCATGCTACTGCCTACCTGCACCACAGTGACCACAAAAAGATTAACAAGTCAAATTAAAGTCAAGTCACCTTGCAGCTGATGAAGTCCACCATGCAACAGAACAAGCTTGACGCTGGCCCTGTCAGTTAAAGGAAAAGCTGGTGATTTCCTGTTGTTTGGTTAAAAAAAACAACCAGAAAATAGAACGTCACCAGCCTTATCCTCTAGTTTTGAACCAGAGGAGGTGGTAAGTGTAGAGCTGCCTTGATGTTGATCTGCTGAGGATTCGAGGCCAGTTCGACTCATGCAGGAGGCCTGTTTCATTTCTGAATGGTGGACATTTGTATAGCGTGGTTCATTTTCTAAATGTGTGTTAAATAAAAGCAAGCAAAGATTTCTCAAACGCTTGCCTCCCCTGACTCTGTTCACACATGAAGACAGTGAAATAACCCCACCGAAGACAGAAGGTTGGTATGGCCCTGTAGCATCTCCCAGAGGACAGCAGCAGGCTGTGACTCAGAATGCTGCTGGCTCTGGGGGCAGTGAGATGTGAAGATCCAGTGAGGGTGGGGAGTGGCCGACTAGTGAGCTGAACAGATGCATTATGTTGGTGTGGTCGAATGGCACAAGCAGCTGCATGGACAGGTTGGTTTCCTTTTATGTATTTAAGAAGTAGCTGGGCCTTCTTCACCAGTGGTGTTGGTTACCCTTTCCTCTGTGTCCAATGTTTAGGAGAGAGAGGACCTGGTGTGTCAGTGTATTTGTCAGTTAATCATCAGCAGAAAACATGCCAATCAGTCAGTCAGTCGGGGACAGGACACAGCAGCTTCTGCCACTGAGGTGGGCATGTTAGAGGAAAGGGACAGATGTGTCACGGGTGTTAGCTTTACTGTACTTATTGTATGGGGTAAATAAAAATACGTAGTGTTGATTTATCACATTAGTTCAGTTAAATTAGCATTAGCTTTTTATGACAATGGACCTGTGAAACTCTGCCCCTGGCTGTAATCACAAGAAGAAAACTACTTCAACTGGTTAAAATTAGTAGAAGGGACCAGATGGTTTATAGACTACTGCACAAAAATACACAAAGGAGAATGATTGCAAAGTGGATTGCTTACTTTGTTTTACTATATGTATCCCACATCATTCATTTAAATCTAGTGAAATATAATGGGCTAAATGAAGAATGTATATGAAATGTACATTTTATGAATTAATCTAAACAAGGTTAAATATTTTGCTTCTGAAACTGTAATGGCATATACTTGCATCTAAGCTGTTTTACTTATAATAGATTAAAACTGCCGCAGAAACAAACAGAACTAGAGTTAACGACTATGTTCCGTTTTACAAACACACATACCTTCACTCAACCACACATCGTCTCAGTTTCGGCATTTCCTTACGGTTTGAACCCGACAAAAGCAGCTGCGAGTGTCCGACTCGTGTTTAGCAGCCTGCGCGCTCCCGCGGACCGCCATCGGTTTCTGGCAGACTCATTTTTGGCACCAAGTCTGTGAGGAAAACACTTAAAAGGCGGATGTGACACGTGGTTTGTTACAAAGTACTACATTTACAAGACAAAGAAGCTCGTGGTCCTGTGCGGCTCTGTAGGTGAGTCCAGGTGTAACGAACTTTGAACCCTTCGATTTCACCACTAAAACTTTATTATACATCAAGTTAAAATATAGAGAGACCAGTAGTCTCATTGCGAAACATTAATGGTAGTAAGTGTTTTATTCTGTTTTTAAGCAGTGTCCCGTTCAGTTTGACTAAACTTTTAAGTATCCCCTGTTTCAAACCTTTTAGCATTTTTACTCGGCAGTAATGCAGAAACACATTAGTGAATCAACATTTTGGGCCCAGGCCAGATGCCACCGGAGAAAGCATAACGAAGAAGTCGTGGTTAATTTCAAACGTCCAGTGCACTTGTTTACATTATTTTAAATGTATAAAAATGAACCGCTGACGGCGAGAGGAAACTGGCGACAGAAGAGGACATTTATCGTGTCTGCTCTTTTGTGGTTCATACACAGCCGGGTACAAATCACACAAGTAACCAGGGTTCTGATGTTCCATGTAACACACACCGGGCACAGGGTGGATAATAGGCTGCTCTATGTTGAAGAGGAATGTTGGACAAACTAACACTGAAGTATGTATAATTATGTTTAAAACATACATACAGTTAGGCTGTCATTGGTGTAACTTGAGGTTAGGTAATGTCCAGTAGGTAGAACCATCTGCAGGATTCAGGGTCTGGTCCTAGTTGCTTCCGGTCTGAAGCCCAGTTCTCAGTGATGAGCTGAATGAGAGGCTCAACTAGAAAGAACTGGACTCTGTTTTCCATTTAAGTAAGCTGAAAACATTTATTGAAGATTCTGAATTTTATTTTCTGGTTTATTTCAGCATATGGGAGCAAGTGCTGTCTCACGCCGATTCCCTGGGGTGAGATAGAGGAACCTCTTACAGCTGAACACTCGGTCACTGACACCATATCAAACCATTCTTCCGTCCAGATCTCTAAGATCCTGGTTTGAGTAGAGGAGGCTGCAGCCCCGTGCCTCATTCTCCCAGCATGACTTCAGTGAGTCTGAGAACCTCTGCAGAAAACAAGACCTTTACCAGAGCCAGCAGCTCACCTGACATGAAGCTGGAAACCAGCTTTAAGGACTTTACACCTGATGTCGCTATTGATGAAAATGATGGAATCTACTGGTTCCAGTGCTCCTGCCCAGGCCTGTACCAGTGCAGTGTGACAGGCCTGGTGTTTCACATGGAGCGAGGAGGGGACTTGGTTTACAGGACTGTCCCCTGCAACAGGAGACTCTTGGCCCAGCATCACAAGAAGCCTGCAGGCCCCCTGTTTGACAGGTGGGTGTCGCTTCTTCTCAGTGGCTCATGTGAAGGAGGAGGGCGTCAACAGAAACTCATGTCATAAACATCACGGGGTTCTTTGCTTTCAGAAACATCAAGGACGAAGACTCCCCACCAGACCCCCAACTGATCCTGAGCTCCCATCCCTTATCAGTGTATTGCTGCTGCCGAGGAACGTTGTCCTCCAGAATGTGCTGCGCAGCAGGAAGTCACTCTAGAGATGAGCGGTACATGAAGACATCCCCACACTGTAAACTGCACCCAGATGAGGAATGCTGTCCACGTGTCCTTAGGACGACTTGGTGGAAGTTCAACCAACACAAGCAAAGGTTGACTGTGAAAACTACGACAACTACTTTCCATCATTCCAGGTGATTTTTAGAGAAAACCATGAGACATATTAAACTGTGTTTGAAAGACACAGACAGCTCCATCAGCATCCGGGAAAGACGGGTTTGTCTTTCCTCCACTAGAAAGATAAGGTCTCTAAAGCACGGTAAAGCCAGACTCTGTGGTGCAGACCAGAGACTGTTGGAGATACGAAGCAGCTTCACTGATGGGACTTCAGGACCAGTTCTCAATATTCTGCTGGACAAAGGGCTGCAGAAACAGGTGATCACTGATTCTGAGAGGGAGTCCACAAACGACGTTCAAAACAAAAGAGACAAAGCTCGCTTTGTTATTGACACAGTGAGGAAGAAAGGTGAGGCTGCGAGTTCAGAGATGATTGAGATTCTCTGTGAGGATGACTCCTTCCTCTGTGAACATCTGGGGCTGATCTGAAGCAAAATGAAGAGCTGGGACATACAGACAGTGACAAATGGAAAGACGACCCAACCTACTGCCATCTGCTGGCCAACATGAGTTACTGTTCACTGCTGAATTTTAAAGATCATGTGACATTTTCAGGAGCTAGTTGGTTAAGTAACTCTTCATCAAAACCATCTGGCCACAAGGTCCGCTTAGCTGCTGTCCTGGAGCTTTTGATTGTATTAAAGAATTTCTTCAGGTCACAGAATTACCCCGGCATCATGAAAATGGAGATGTGAAAATTTCCATATTGGCTTAAACTGCTCTTGAAGATAACAGGGAGCTAAGTGGTTAATCTGTCCATGTTTTTCTTATAGTAAATTATATTTCACCATGAGAGTAAATGCGTGGGACCTGTTTGCTCATACTGAGAGAAAAATAGAGCATTAATCACATCTGGTTTTATGATTATCCTGCTAAATCACATGTCAAACTCAAGGCCCGCGGCCCGGATGTGGCCCGCATGATAATTTTATATATCTTTTTTTTTTTTAAT